TTCCGTGTTGATCAAAAAATTTTTATTAGTGAGTGACACTTGACCCCCTGTAGATCCGCAATGTCCTGCGACTGATATGTGCAACATTGAGTTGTCCCCCCATACCCCTAGATAATACCCATTACTTTGACATATCTTGACAAGTGTCAACCATTGAATACATGGAAAAAAAATATGTTCATATCAAAAAATTTAATTTTTCAATTTCTGATTTAACATTAGTATTAGGAAATAATTAATAGTATGATCTTACATCAACCAGGATTTCAAGGCCCTACAAGTAAAGTTGAAATTTTCCTAATTTAACCTTCGAAGAGTCCTTAACAAACTTTTCAGAGCACACTCTGATACACCCATTGCAACTGTCTTTGCTTTATAAACCCCTCTAGTTTTATGAACATCTCAAGGAAAGTGCCAACAAAAGCAACACTTTTAACTGTCGTAGAATGACCAATACTTGAGCTAGCTTCTTGTTTGAGTAGTCGTTTGGAAGTCCTGATTTAGCTTTAAATTTTTTGTTTAATGCGAGAAGGTTGTTTGCATAGTGAAAAATAGCAAAAAAAAAATTTTTGAAAATGGGCGTCAAAAATTTTTACAACATTACACATATCAAATTTTATCAGAAATTCGATTTTTTTCTAATGTCGATAGCATAATAATAATAATAATAATTGTTTGTGTACAACCCATAAATTTCGGAATACTTGTATAGTTGGCTCAGTCTAAAGACCTCCTAAGTTTTGCATGAATTTAAAAGTATAGAAGTCACTTTCTGTCCTATCTTTTAAAAAAATAACATTATTAGTTGATAGAATAGGTCTTTAGTTTTAATGTAATAATGAGATATTCTCAAAAAAATCATTTGTTGTAGAGTTCTATTCTTTTTTAGAACATGTACTTTACTATGTTCATGAGAAATTTGGCCGCTAGGATCATTACTAAATTTAGACCAAACTACAAAAATCATTTCTAAATTTAGACTAATACATGACCATCATATCTAAATTTGGCAGTACGAAATAAATTTTTAAACCCAAAATCACGTGAAGTCCTATTTTCGAAAATTTTACAAAATTGCTATTTTTGAAATTTGGCCACGTGGCGCAAAAATAGGAGGTCTTTAGACCAAGCCAACCATATATGTAGTGCGACTATATAAATTATGCATGCATGTTTATTTGTGCGATTAACCAAATTCGATTAATTACCTCATGCATGTAATCATACGACCTGATTGTTACTATATATAAATTCTAAATATGCATTTTCTTTGTGAAAAAATTTTTCTATATATATGCATCACTCGTTTCATTACTCTCCAAATCTATTTTCATCACTGTATGTCGAAATCCCAGAGAGAGACCATTTAAAAGGGCAGTATAGCGAAGTTATTTTTACTCGTCGCTTTCAAGTGATTTATTTTTTTGTTGCTTGCGGTTTTCAAATTCTGGATAAATTTTTTTCTTAAAAATGGAAGGATTTCTTTTATACGAAGAACTTGACACAGTTAGGATTGCTACTGCCTTATACAAGAGGGTTTTGACAAATGAATGGACTGGTGATAGAGATATAGAGGTCAATAATTTTATAGAGACGTTGAATAGAATAATAACCGAAAATACTATTGAGATTGAGCGCTTAGAAAAATTCCAGAGTTGGGGCGATGATTTAGAATTAGAACAAAAGGTAAGTTTATTATCAACATTTTAACGAAATCATAGTGGGTGTGATGAAATTTCTACAGACTATTATGATGTTTGTCAATTTGTGCGATTTGCGTTTTCCCGTGAAGATCCTTATGTAAAGGTACTGCATAATTGATTCTTTTGTGTAGAGTAACCGGATTACGTTAATCAATGCACAAGTTTATATAATTGAATTTGAATTCTGCCGGCATTTACTGAAAAAAAGTCAATCTGACCCAGCAAATTTTTTTTTTTTGCTTTCCTTTCTTTATAAAATTCAGTTGATAATATTATCTATTTTTTTCCTCAGGTAATATTGGCATTCGAAGATATAAGAACTTTACTGAAAATGCAGAGCTCGGTAAATGAAATTAAAGTTTATTTTATGATCTAGTTCATGTCGAATCTGATAAGATATATTTTTGATATCACTAACAACATCATAGGGTGAAGATAGAACGTCTTGGGTTAGTCAAGCAGAAGAAAATGTCAAGATGGTCATTCGTAATGTACAATCGGTATGTTTTTTATATGGGTCATTGCTTTCATTAGATCATAATATTTACGACTATATCAAATTTAGGCAATGAAAAAATGTTCTGGACTGCAATACAAGATGTGGGAAAAAGTGAAAAATGAATTAGGAAAATTGGATTTGAGTAAATTAGGGTACGATCACCCAGTGTGTTCTGGAATTTTGGACTGCGAATCTGAACCTATATCCACGTTATTGCCGGAGCTTCGTACTGTGTTGCAGGTAATTTAAAACAATATATTTGAACTTCAATACTGTATATTTTTTATTCTTATTGATGCATTCCTTATAGAAAGGGGCCGATGATTTTTTGATAGAAAAAAACAAAAAGATAAATGATCTTTGTGAAAAATTTACTCTTGAGGAGGAGAAACATATTCTGGCGGAAGAAACAGCATTATCGCCCCGTATAGTATCTGCTGGAAAATGGCTAGATTCATCGGAAAAGTTAGAATCAATTACTACACAGATTTTTGAAGTATTGTAAGTATCTACTACATTATTAATCATATATGTGCTGTAATTAATCAATCTAAACTATATTTTAGGCATCATTTATGGGTATCAACCAAGTATAGAGCATTTGTCCGCCATAAAATGCCAATAAATGAGACATCATATATGTGCGAAGTATTGACATGGCTATTTGATACAGTCATGAATGGGATACCTATAAAATGCGAGGCTTGGGGTGCATGGTTGGTATTTTTTCTTTTATTGATTAAGCCTTAACTTTGACTTTATTATTTTTTGAACTTAGGGATAAACGAAGCTTGGTTAGTGCATCTCGAGCGGGCGATTTGAGATGTGCAAAGAAACCAGATTATATGTTTACTGTAGAAATAAGTGACGTAGAGGTTGAATTATTATATTGTGAAACTGGTCGTCCGAAATCTTCACACGTGAAACAGCTGGAGGATCATAGAAAATTAGCAGGACTCTCTAAGGATTCAATTGAAAAAACCAGATCAGAACTTAAAGCATCACTAAAAAAGTCGACATTGAGTGAACATTTGTCTATATTTACGGTTAATGTTGCGAGTATGTATATTTTTTATTTTATCATTTTTTTCGGAAATGTGCTAAAAGTTTTTTTTAGGCGACATAATAAAAATCTATGTGATGAGAAAAGAACATGGGATTCTTGTTTATCGTTTACTCACAACGGCGAAGATCCCATTGGGAATTGCATCCCCCGATGAAGTCTATACGCTCATCCATGCATTATTAACATTACGAGTATGTTTTGATTCTTCTATTATTAGGATGGATTTTTATAAATCACTAATACTTTTTTTTATAGACTGCCGTTGTCTTTACATTACATAATCTTTTAGCACGTCTTGATGAGTCTAGCGGTGGACAATCCTCTGATGAGACTACATCGACTATTGAAAAACCTAGAAGAAAGAAAAGGAAATAAATAGTTTTAATTCGATTGTATCCTTAGAGAGTTCTGCTAATTTTCTATGTTCCTTTAGTATTTATATCCAGTATCTTGTATTTTTATTTTTTTTTTCCCTATTTCAATAAAGCTGGCCCTAGTGGTCTATTACACATACATATATTCGAAAAAAAGCTAATTATTACATATATCCGATAATTTTCCACTACATATTGAGAATATCTGATTCGATGTTATTCACCTCTAAATATCTACATAACTCTCCATAATCAAATACCGCCTTCACGTCTTGCGTGTTTTTATTTATAATTGTTATAAAATCTTCGTCAATTCTATGCATATACTTAGACAGATTTTTAAATTGCATATACTGTGTGGGATTATCAGTGAATCTACTTCGAGTCTTTCGTCTGTTATTTTTAGATTTGCGAGACATATTTGACGTATATATTAATATGGATAACGACTTCAATTTTTTATTTTTTCGTCATATCGGAAAATAAAACAGTTTGTATTGTATGGACATCGATATTTCACATATGATCAAAAATTTTTCAGATAATTAATATTTAACTCTCATGAGACAATATCATGTAACTGATAAATTATAACGGAGCTAGTTTCACTAAAACGTTAGCGCCCAAAAAAAGGCACTCAATATTTTATTAAGAAAATATATATAAAGACATACAGTACCTGGACAAAAGTATCGGACCCCCTAAATGTATTAATTACACAAAAACGTACATAATAAGTATACAGAAAATTTATGTCAGTTTATAGCTTAGGTTCCGAAGATTATGTATACAGGATCTTATGTTTCTAAGTTTACTAGAACTTGAGTAATTAAAAATAACGGAAATTCAAATATTTTTAAAAAAATGTTGATCATGAATTTTTATTAGTGATGGTTACTGTTATTAATTACCCACAACTATTTTTATCTTGAAGTAGCTAAACCCTTATTAATCTAATACTTAGTTGGCCAACCATTACTTTTAATGCATGCTTGAATTCTTCGGGGCATACTTTCTATCAAATTTATTAAAACATTTTCAGGAATGTTTTTCCATTCTTCGTGCAAAGCGACCTTGAGTTCATTTTTATTTTTAAATTTATTAGGTCTTTTACGAATTCTCATTTCCAACTCTTTCCATAGATGTTCAATTGGATTCAAGTCAGGAGATTGACTTGGCCAATTTTTTAAAGTTTTTATTTTATTTGTTTCTATCCATGTTTTGACGACTTTTGCTGTATGGACAGGCGCATTATCATCTTGAAACAAATACCCTCTTCCATTAAATTTATTACAAACATGCGGAAGCAACTGCAATTCTAGTATTTCTATATAGTCACGGCTATTCATTTTTCCATCTACTTTTATTAGTGGACCTAGCCCTTTTCCCGAAAAACACCCCCATACCATTATGCCTCCGCCACCATGTTTCACTGTTGGGACAATATTTTCAATATTGTATCTGGTTCCGGGCGTTCTCCAAACATAACCTGGACCATCATTTTGAAATAAAGTGTACCTGCTCTCGTCACTCCAAATGACATTTTTCCATTTTCTAATAGTCCAATCTTTCTTATCAAGGCACCATTTTAAACGATTAACTCTCTGCTGTTCATTAATAAAGGGTTTAGCTGCTGGAACACGAGCATGAATATTTAAATCATGTAGATTTCTTCTGATCGTTTTAGTAGAGACTTGTAAATCAGTTATTTCATTGAATTTATCTTTTATTTGTTCCGCTGATTTACGATTATTTTTTTTAATGATTTTTTTCAATTCTTCCTGATGAACACTATCTAAAATTTTAGGACGTCCACTCCTAGGTAATGTTTTGACATCATCTCTCTCTTGAAAATTCTGGATCGTCCTTATTACTGTAGTCTTAGGAAAACCAAGAATTTTACTGATTTTTACTTTTGTTGTGCCACTTTTATAAAGGCCGATTATCTGACCACGTTCATTTTCAGTTAAATCTGACATTTTATCAAAATTTTTAATTTTTTAAAATTATCAAAGTTTTCAAAAATTCGTCAAAAAAATTTTTAAACAAAAAAATATAAAAAAAATTTTATCTTGAGAATCAGAAGATCTTAGATTATCATATATAAAAATTTCAAACCATGTTATTTATATAGTTTTTAGAAAAATTGTCAAAAAATTTCTTCGCCGGGATTTTTTTTCCAAAAATGATCGTATTTCTTTTATTTTTAATTGCACGAGTTCTAGAAAATTTGGTAACATAAGATTCTATATACATAATCTTCGAAACCTAAGCTATAAACTGACATAAATTTTCTGTATACTTATTATGTACGTTTTTGCGTAATTAATATATTTAGGGGTCCGATACTTTTGTCCAGGTACTGTATGCCATTTCTCAGCATTGCTAGCAATACCAAAAATGGTTTTTAGGGTATCACCTAAGTTTCTGGTCGAAATTACTTCTCTTAGTAGCTGAAATTGCTGAAACACTTTGGGCAAAAATTAATTTTTATAGGCCCAAACTATTCTCAAAGCTACTTTTTTTCAAAATAGTTTGAATCAGAAACCTTAGTATCACCATCTGCATCATCTGATTTTATCTTTTAAGTTGTTGAAGATTTTCCTGATGGAATTTATGGAAAGATCATTTAATAAAAACTAAATTAATATTAAGCAAGAAAATTGGTTTACCTCTATTGATACCTCTAATTGAACAGGCATTTTATCCAACTCCTTTTTTCAAATCACCTGTTTTTGATTCGGAGACTCCAGCAATCATTTTATCTAAATAAAGGATGGCAAAATCTAATGGTCCTCTCCCATGAGTACCCCAATGCTATACTCACATTTGATTCAAAATCGCCATTATATAAAGATGATGCAGTGGCCAAAAATGGAAATATTATATATGAATGTGTCTTTTCAGATGAGCTACTTGTCAATTTAATCACTATTGTTCAAATCTGATATTTTCTTAATGTGAGTTATAAAATTCTTGTAAAAAATAAAATAAAAAAATAAATAAATAATATAGAAATCTTGTTTACCTTCAGCTCTTCAAATAATGATCAAATGCCCTCTCTTTGTCACTACCAGATTTAATTGATTTTCTCACTGTTAAAAATTTTTTTTTTAAAAATTGAATACCTAAGGTGGTGGCAACTATAGTTTAATGAATAGCTTGCCAGTTTTAAATTTATCCAAATTTATCTGGAAAACCAAAAAGTTCAGCCATTAAAGGAATTGTCCAATCTGAAAAAAGTTTTTGGGCTTTAAAATTATGTATGATAAACCATTGTAAATATTAGTAAATTTTCAAGATTCAAAATAAATTCACACACTTGCATCAACTTCCAAATTGATGTTGTATACAATGTGATCTTCATCTGCATTATTTTCCAATTTTTTTTTTTTCTAACCTTGCCACCTCTCTTTCTAATATCTACTTTTTTTTCCAGTGCTAAAAAGATTATTATGAAAAATAATGCATTAAAAATTATCGAATTAATGCTTGCAATATCTTTGTAATTATCTTTGTTATTCTCTTTATAAATCAGAATTTCATATCCAAACACCCACCTAAAATTTTAATTATAAAATTCGATTTCACATACAACAACATAATAATAATGAAAACAAGAACCTTTCTGATAAACATTGTATTATATAGTTCATGAACACTTTGTTGGATGATGGTTAGTGAGTAATATAAGTTCTTGGATGTTGATAGGAGTGTCAACTTGGATTTAATTTCTTAAGTAGATCATCATATTTCCTTTTTCAGAGGTGTTGCTAGATGAGCCTTGCTGGCATGGTGGACTCAACTGACTAGTGTTCTGGTTCATGTGTCTGACGATAATCTAGGTTTGGAGGTTGTGTTTATCACATCTTTATAGTTATAATTTATTATTGTGGTGCTGTTGGTATTGTAGTGATTGTTGTAGTTATTGCAGCAGCTATTGTTAACGTAGTTGTTATTGTAAAGCCTGTTGGTTATAATATCATCATTATCATTATTAGTATTATTATTGTAAAGACTCTGTTGGCCATAATGTTATCATCATCATTAATGATGTTATTATTGCTATCATTATTATGATTGTTAACATGGCAATTGATCTTTTTATCACTATTATAGTGATAGATTTTGTTGACCATTACTATTGTTGTTGTTGTTTGTTTATCTTTTGGATCCTTATGTGAAGCGTTGCTGAGCTGAGTAACTATTTGACTTGCAGAAGTGACGGCAGTGTCTGAGCTTGCAATACTTTTATTTGCAGCTCAATGGGGCGTTGAAAACAAAACAAAAGTCGTTTGGTTGTTGTTGTCTGATGTTGCTACTGGCAAGAAAATATCTGTTTTGAAGTTGTGGTTGTTCCGTGGCCGTGGAAATAGTACTAGATTTGATCATCCGGCAATGTTAGAAGTGGCGAATAATAGAAAGATTGGGAGATTCGTATCAGTACACGCGATAGTTGGTGATTATTATTTTTAAGAACCAGTGAATGAAATTATCGGTAAAATCAAACAAAATCAATGAAACTTGAAAATTCACTGATGATGCCGACAACGATAGTAATGATAAAAATAATAATAATAACGACGACAAAGATATAATGACAATTGTACATGCGGCTAGTGATACTAATAAAGATAATAAAACAATTTTTTGAAGACCTACCTTATTTCAATATGTTATCTGGTTTTTCAGGTGAACTTTTTCCTTACAAATCCTTTATGAATTCGCTAGGCAATAAAATTATGTATAAATTTTTATTGCCTGCCTTTAACTGATCTTATGGTTGCTAGTGGTTTTAAAACCTATACTATGAAATATAGCACTTATGATTCTTTTATTCAGATAGATATCATTATTAAATAAGAGTTTATCATTATTAGATTTATTAGATTTATTTTTTCTATTAATTTAAAAAGAAATATACTTCAATCATGCGTCACTAGTGATATTGAATAATTTAAGAATTTAATAATTATAAAGCTTTACTCTATTTATTTTTGAACTAGGAATGCAAGTAATTCTTTGAGTCCTTGCTTTATAAGAAAGTAATTCTTTGAATTTTGACTCGAAAATCAATCGTATTTATAAACCATCCATCTTTCACATACCAGGCGGGATATGTCACGTTACGCCAGACAGCGATCGTAAATATTGTCCTTTTTAAAATATAGATAAATAAATAGATAATAGATATTACCAATTTCTACCAAACATTAACATTTATAAATTGCCATCAAATTGAATTAGCAATATCAATTGAAATATCAGATATTAAAAATAACATAATTTTTGATAAATTTGGTATATATATATATATTTATAAGTTTTTTTTTGGTTTTAGAAATAAAAAAAAAAAAATAGCTACATACAATATAAAAAAATAAAGGGATATATAAAAATGATAAAAATAATAATAAAAGATATATGATATATGATGTGATATAAAATTTCCTAAAAAGAAAGGGAAAAAGGATATACATGAAGAAGAAAAAAAGTAATATATGTTATGTATAATATATATGATAATAAAAATATGTATATAGAATATATAGATAATATGTGTATATAAATATAATATAATATAATATATGTATAATGATATTTATAATTAAAGTCCTCATATAAAGAAGATAATAAACTACAAAATAAAATATAATATAAAATAAATAAATAATATTAAAATGCAAAAAGATATAAGAAAAAAAAATGCAAGATAATTAATTTTTACCAAAGTTCTACCTTTTTAAAAAAAAAAACAAAAAAAATTTTTAAAAACAAAGAACTAAAATCATCAAACTAATAATACTAACACTAATACCACTAATAATATAATTTAAAATCCATTTCCTTTTCTTTCCCAATTCTCAATTCTCTCTAATTTTTCTTTGATTGATTTTCTGTATCTAAAAAATAAATTTCATTTATATATAATTGTGTGTTAAATAAATATTGATTAATATAATTTTAATAAAATAAATTAATTAATTAACTAATTAAAGAAAGAACAAAAAAAATATTACCTGATTTATTTGTAATGCTGGTAATTCCATTTATATTACTAAGTTTGTTGTCATTATTGTCGCTAATATTAGAATCGACTTTAGTCGTTATTACTGTTATTGTCGAAGGTGTTGATTTAGCGGTGGTGGTATGGAAAGAAGGTAAAGATGATGGTGAAGATGGCAAAGGTGGGGAGGGTGGGGAGGATGGAGAAGTGGATTTGTTATTATTGGTGGTAGTAGAGGTAGTGGTAGTTATAATTTCACCTGTTGTTGATCCTGTTGATGGTAAACGTGAAGTTGTAGTAGTAGTAGAATTAGTATTATTGATGTTTGTTGTAGAAGATGATGACGATGAAGATGATGATGAAGATGAAGATGAAGATGATAATTTAGTAGTTGAAATGATGGATCTTGTTGTTGGATTTGTAGCAGTTATAGTCGTAGTAGTAGAAGATCCTGATGTATCTGACGCCGTGCTACTAGAGCCTGATTCCGTGGTCGATGAAGAATGGCAAGAATCAGATGATGATGATCTTGACACATTGCCGTTTCCATTGCGACTTTGTAAATCACAATGATTTTGATTTTGACTTTGATTTTGTTGATTATTATTATTATTTTGATTATTATTATGATTGTTATTACGTTGTTGATATTGATGATTATGATGTTGATAATGTTGTTGTTGATAATTTTGATTAAGAAGGGATTGCTGCTGATGATATTGTTGTTGTTGATTATGGTATTGATTTATATTTGTAAAACTATGATGATGATGTAAATCATGATGACCACCATGAGAATAATGTCCGTGGTGATAGTGAGTTGCTTGATTTGTAGGATTATTAACTATAACCCAACTACCTCTTCTTGGAATTTCTGGTGCTACCGGTATTGATGCTGAACCATTATAACCGTTAACCATCACTGAATTTGTTGCTATTGAATTTTTAAGAATTGGTGATGAACCATTATTATTATTCATAATTAATAAATTAGAATTTCTTTTTTCTAATGTTAACTCACTGCTACTACTATCATCATTATTATTATTACTACTACTATACTACTATAATTATTAACTCTGCTATGATTATTATGAAAAATATTTAAAGAATCTTTTGATTACCTTTTGATAGGGTGCTTCCACTCCAAGCAGGTACAGAACAACGTCTCGTTGTATTTGGATTTAAAATATCGTTATTATTATTTTTCTTCTTTGCCGTCGTCGTGTTGGTTATGGTTCCATTATTATTATTACCGTTAGTATTGGTAGTAGGGTTAGTGGTTGTGATAGGCGATGGCAATGAACTTGTATGAAATGCGGCAATATGACGTGGTAATGGCGGTAATGCAAGCGAAGCTCTACGCGCATAACTTAAAGCAGCAACAGCTGCTGAATGTGCGACATTTCCAATTGCGGTAGCAGGATTGATTGAAAACCCTCCTGTAAGTGGTGGTGGTATAGTTGTGACAGGCGTTGAAGGTAATGATTGCGTTGATGAATTAACAGGTATTGTTATTGATGATGATGATGATGATGATGATGATGATGTAATTGATGATGACGATGAACCTGTTAATGATTGTGTTGAAGGAGGCGGGGGATATCCTGAGAAAGGATATGATGATGACGATGGAGTTGCGTATTGATATGAAGAAGCTAAATGAAGTAAAATAATTATATATTGTTTCTAATTATTTAATTATTTTAATAAAATCAATTATTGGTTAATTATTAACCAATTATATTTTACCATTCATTGAAGAAGACTGTTTTGATTGCAGTGAAGGTGGCGGGGGAACAAACGGAGGAGCACCGGCAGCAGTTCTGTAAGCGAGATCATCAGGATTTATTATTGGTTTTGGAGAAGAGTGTCTCTGTTGATGATATTGTTGTAATTCATCGGTAAGATCACCACTTCTAGCACGACTAAGCAATGAACCACTACTATTTGCACGTTTAACTGTTGAGCCTAGGCTCATTGATCGTACATGTTGAGATTGAGAATGATGCGCATACTGTTTATGTAAATGATGAAAATGTGGCTGGGTGTTAAACACATTATTTGATATAAATGGCGCATGCATAGGTGATCCATTTATTGGAATTTGTTGGCTGCTATTATTACTACTGTTGCTACTATTTCCATTTATTGATGTATTTGAAAGCATTGATGACGGTGAAGATGGGGAATTCGTTAATATAGAAGAAGGTGGTTGCGGTGGTGTTTTTGATGAATATGAGGATGAATATATTTGAGGTGAAGAAGTCAATGTAGTTTGATAAGTTGTGTTGCTTATCGGTTTGGCTGGATGACTGCTCTCTCTACGATGACCTCTGCCAAAATGATTATTACTCCCATTGCTATTGTTATTGAGATGGTGGTAAATTGAATCTTCTTCTTTTAACGATTTTGAACCCCCACCTTTACTACTACTAGATGTTTCATCAGTAGATGGCTGACGTCTTGTTCTTTTATTGGTATTATCCCATCTATTGACATTATTATTATTACTATTATTGCTAATACTACTACTACTACTACTATTTGAATTTCCATTCGTTAATCTTGAATTCTCACAAATTACCACACCTTTGTTAATTTCCTCTTCCATTACCCAATGTTTAAGTAGCTGGTCGCCGTATCTTTGTAATTCTTCAACTGTAATAGCTAAACGAAAATCATTCAATACTAGAAATTCCAATTCTAAATGATTTAATTCTGAAACTGGTAATCCTCCTACCTACATTTATATATAAAAATATATATATAAATATTATATAATATTTGTAAATACAAAAATTACTTGTAAAATTAAGATATATTTAAGATAATAAAATAATTATGAAATTAAGAATTGTTCTTTTATCTAATATTTTTTATTTTTAATGAAAAAAATAAATTTTTTTGAAAACAAATTAGTATTTTTCTAATTTATTTGGGGGTTTTTTTTTATCCATTTATCCATTTCTCTTTTCCAAATTCCCTAAAATTATTATAATATAAAATACTACTACTCCAAATTAAAAAGTAAAATTAAATCTATAGATACATTTTAATATGTTTAACAATCATACCTTTGCATATCTTGAATTTGTAAAGAATACATCAGAAAAGAACTTTGAAGAAACCATAATACCAGCTATTATTAAACGATGTATGTTGAAGGAATCTATGGAAAATGGTTTCCCTGTTGTTTTCATTGCATTCTTTGACATGCGATCAAAATATACCAGTAAAGAAAGAAAACATTCATTTGAAGTTGGGCAGTACTTCAATATCCTGGAGAGATAAGAATGGATATCTATTGAAGGTACTGAACGTGCATGAAATCGCGTGAAAGGAGTAACGGCTTGTTGTTGGTTAGAAATTGTTTCATTATTGCTGTTACTATTATTATGTGTTTTTAGTTGGTCGTTGGCGTTTGTTATTTTCTCTAGTAGTGAGGCTAACATCTTTAGAGTGTCTGTTACAGGGAAATTCGCTAAATCCAATGTGTGCATCATTAAGGCTAGTTGTTTTATATTATTATTAAAAAAATCGCAATTTAGTATTATACTATTATTATTAATATTAATATTATTGTTAATTATTTGTTGTGTGTCTATAGACAAAAAAAATATTAATATTAAAAATACAGTTGTATTTTTTTTTTTTTTATAATAATGTATTATCTGTTAAATGAAAGACGTTGTGGTTGTACAGGGAGAAATATATATATTATTTTTACCACATAAACAAATCCACAAAAGAATTTAAAGATTCTAAACTTCTATTATTGTCGTTGTGGTTGTGAAACGAGTTTAATTTAATATTAAATTAATTACTGATAAATTCGAAAATAATAAAAACAAGTAGAGTAACTTGTTTTCACACAATAAAAAAAATTAAGGTTCTTTGATTTTCAATTTCTTCCAATATTCCATTCACACGTACAAAATTAATGCAAATCCGTTTTTTTTTTGTAAAAGAAACATTACAACATTTCGGAAAGCTCGAAACATTTTAGCCAGGAAAAAACAAAATTATAATGAATCACAAAAAAGATAAGCAAGAAAATTCGTTTAATAGACAAATAATATTCGAGGGAGCCAAACCAATCCACACCATTTTTTTTTTACCAAATCTATTTTTGACTTCTTTAATCTTTAAAAGATAACATATTAATACACACACTCACTCATCTGAGAGTAAGGAACGTTGGAAGCAGAGACGTGTTAATTTTTTTATAATATACATGTTTGCGATTTCATTAATTACGCATATAGAAAAAAATATTTCTTTTTATTATCGACGCACGTATTGTTGGGAAGAATACTAGCTCGAGAAACATTAGATTTAAAAGACATTTTGTTTTCTCGAAATCTTTTGGTAAACATTTCCTGTGAATGATTATTATTAATAAAAACCAACATATGAAACGTTAGACAGAGCGCTTTCAAAACTTTTTTTTTTTACTCGTGGATATTATTGCCTTGTACGAGATATATTACTATATAGTAAGTAGTAGAAAAGAGTCAAGAAAGGGAAGAAGATTTAGAATTTGAAATTTAATTCATATAACAAATTATCATCATATATGAATGAGAGTATTTATGAATTATAATTAATTATTTGGAAAATAAATTATCCATACCAATATATAATAATAATAATGAATAGTGTTTTAAATTTTAATAAAGCCAAAACTAAAAAGTGAACGAGACCCTGTATGTGCTGTGGCGCAACTAAGTGAGCTTTTACTTCTTAGTATTAGTATATTCAGGGGTCCTAAGTGAACATAATGCCACTATCCAATCAAATTTTGGGTTTCTGGAGATAGTTTCTAAATTTGTACTATATAGTTACATTCGTTACACGATAAATATATTTTTATTGGCTCTCCAAAAAGAACTGAAAACGTTGAGAGTTTTGTGAATAAAGTTAAAAATGAAAACAAGGAAACCTAGCTCAAAAAACAACTTCTGATAATAATGGTAAAAAATTGCATAGTCAACAACAACAACGACAACAAAATGTTCATCCAGTTCAAAAGTAGTTTCTACTAATAATAACGAACAACGACAGTGTTTATCCAGTTCAAGTGACAGTTTCTTTTACTAATAATGATGAACAACAACAAATTGTTTGTCCCAATTCAAAAAGCAGCTTCTACTAATAATACATATCATCATCGATACTTTCTCTAATACCGATGAACCTCAATATTATCATCAGCAACAAAACGAATTGTTTAACCAGCCCGGAGGTGGTTCTGACGAGCATTTAGCATCATCATTATTCACTGTGAAAAATAAATATGAAAAACCACACTTTTTCTCTTTTTACTGTATGGAAGTTGCCCAGAATTTTACCTGGAAAGAACGCTCTTCCATACATTTTGTATGGAATTTACGGAAAATATAAAAATTTTTTTTCCATCATCATAATAATACATTTCCAGTACATGTTAGAATACGAAGAATGCACGGAAAACACACAAAGAATATCATGATAATAATAATAATAAAGGTAACATTTCTCCATACATGTTTCATACAAAATTTTTAATAAAGGTTTATATTATTAATACACAAAATAGCGGGTTTTATATGTATGTGAACTTTTTTTTTTACATTATGTAAATCAGTACCAAAAACAGAATTTATGGAACCAGAAAATTTTCTGCTCAAAGCTGATCCTGATTAAGGTTTCCGGTCCAAACTATTTTCGAAAAAGTAGTTTTGGCAATAGTTTGGTTTCTCAATATTTTTTGTGAGAATTAACAGAAAAGACTATAAATCTACCTATTTTAATTTAAATAATTTAAAAATAATTTCGCTATTAAAATAAAAAGTAATTTGGGTCTATAAAAAAATAATTTACGCCCAGCGTTTCGGTACTAAGAGAGAGAGGTAGTTTCAACCGGAGACGTTAGTTCCAATAATAACCCTAGTGCTATCATCAATGTTTAAATTGAAGTTTGAGTGAGTATTTTGAGCAGAATGGCCTGTATCTTTCAATTTTTTGTAAGTTCCAATCTAAACTTGCCAGAAATCCTTTAGACTGTCTCTTTTTTTTATTATTATTGTTACATCCTATTCTAAAAGTTTCTCAAATACTGTTTCTTCTAAAGTGGTTTTCTAAAATAACCAATAATTACCAGCAATTCACTAAACCAAATCCCCTCTCCAGCAATAAAGTAAGCGGAGCTTCAAATATTCCTGGTGAAACATACATATTTTTTTCTTGGTTTCTTTTTTACTATTTAGGTTCTTTCATGCCACAACCCACGCTTATAATCCTTCCTTCTCGGAAGTTTTTCAGAAATTCCTCAAAAAAAAGAAATACTAAGTGGGTGGGCAACTTTTGTAAATTGCTATAAGCTTTACAAGTCATCTCGATAACAAGCTACTTTGATTTTACGGCCTTTCTTTTTTTATTGAGCAACAGATACAATGGGAGATTGTTTTCATATATTATTATTATTATTTTCATATTTTGGACAAGCACGCTTATGATGATACCTTTCTACTTTTTTAAATGACATATAGGAGCATCCCTATATGAGAAAATTGCTTTAAAATAAATAATGCAAAGAATATTTAGAATTGCTTATCATCAAGAAATTTTTTCTGACGCGGGTTTACGGCGGCCCTTAATATTATGCAAATCATACAAAAATTATGCAATTGTTACATTGAGTGTAAATATTACATAATGTTTTATGCAAATATTATAACTTTACATATTAAAATTTATGAACGTAGTATTACGGCGGGGAAAATTTCCTGATGATGAAAGTTTACCAGAAAGAACAAAGATTGTAATAATAACCAATAGAAAGAACCTAGAAAAAAATAAAAACAAAATTAGTTGCCAGCATTCCATACATCTTTAAAACATCATTGACAAAAGGATGAATGTTATTCATGAGGCGGTATCAATATGAGAAATGAATGATAAGGTCTTAATATCATTTATAAGTTACAATTCTTTGTTTTATAGTTTTAAATGGCATTGAATTTTAATAATACCCTGAATTTTTGAATACCGCCCCAAACTTGATTTAGCATTACAAGCTACATGTGTATCGAGCGAACAAATGTTTACCGTCTCGAAATAGGTTGGATTCGGAAAAACACAAGCAATATCGAAGTAGAAATTTGTTTTAGTTTCATTTGTTTTGTTTAGCTTAAATAACATTACAAACATTTTGTGTTTAAGAAAAAGCTCAAGACTTTTTCAGGACTTTCCCAAGACCGGCCCGAGCTGTTTGGGACCAATTAACATCTCTAAATATTATGATTTTAAATCGTTTAAAAACGGCATTTTGTATAGTAAGTTTTCAAATTTTTGATGATGAATACGCAAATTCAAACTTAACCTGTCTATTATTAATATTTCGGGATTCTAATTCAGATGTTGATTGCGATAATTTTCTTCGTGTGTGATATAATGTAGTTGCCTCTTCCAGAGGATTAGACTTCAAAGATGATATATTTTTGTGAAGATACAAGCAGTTGCTGAATAAATTCCACATCAAGCATTTTATGTGAATAAAAATTGTGACAACGCAACAATATCTTATTCAATTTAATCCTTGAAAAAAAAATAAATTTAATAAAAGTCAAATTCATTCAATAACAGAGAAATAGGTTACCAATCCTTCCCCTTTATTTCCATTTATGACCAAAGCTCAATTCACTAAATGACATAATGTGGTTCACTTCGTAATAAACGTGTTATAATTCTAGTATACATTTTAGGTATGCATGAAACTGAAACTATTTTGACTAGTCGGGTCAGTATCGAAATTGATTTTTGCTATGTAATTGCTTCAAATAGACTTTGAGGATTTAATTTCAAAAGAAAATTCTCACTAGAGTGATATATCATATCACACAACGAATCATGTTTCCACTATCAGCATGAATTCAATAACGCTGCATTCACTATAAGTTAACGTGGCTTTAACATGTAATAAATATAGAAAAAAGAATTTCTCCTAAAAACAATTCTTCATTTCGCTAATATATGAAATTTTTGAGAAGACCTCTTCGTCACATACAAAAATGAGTAATAACAAAAGACACGCAAAAGATTTAGCTAATTTCAACAGAATAACTTTTGCCAGCGGCGCATTTTCCTCTTCTTTTACATCCTAACCATCATCATCAACAAATAGTTTCAATTTTCAGCTGTTAGGAAAGGGGCTGGCTACTCAAACGAATCCTGGCCAGCCATCACAATCATATCATTGTGATGACTAAAAAAGTCAAAGCTCTTCGGCTGAAACTAGACAAGACCAAGAATAGGAAATTAGGTTTCCATCATTCGGTCGAATAAATCAGTTCCCTGCAGCATTGTGGAATTTTGTTTTTGATCGACATTCGAAATTATCACGTTACACGACCTACACAATCTTTATTATACGGAAAATACAAAATAATTTAATTGTCATTATTTAGAATCTGGACTTTGCTCTTAGATGGAAAAGAAAAAATTATAATAAGATTATACT